CTGATTTTCAGATTATTGGGTGAATTCTTTCCTTGACGCCTGCCCATCTCCTCCTATCTATGCTATCTAAGGGGTCTGTTAAAACTGGTTCAGGTTTCCCTGCTGGCCAGGGACTCCTCTTACAAAATGCCCTTGCTCTGTTTCCTGGTTCCTGCCGGGGGGGGGGCAAGATCCCTCTCACCCCTCAGAAGGGTCTTCAAGTTTAGGACCGGGCTCCTCCTCTGCCAGGGACCTCCCCAACTGAATGCCTACCTCTTTGGTTTAATTGTAGTGGGGCGATCTGTTCTCGGTGTTTAGCGCGGTCCCTGCAGCCTGCTTCTGCTGCTGGGATGGTTCCCGCCACCAGCAGCCTGTGTCCTCTGCTGCCGCTCTGGTCCCTGCCGGTTCCAGCCTGTCCCAGTTGGTCCCCGCCGGCTGCGCTGGGCGTCCTCAGGCCGCCTTCCATCGCCCGGTGTTCCGGCCGCCTTCCGCCTCCCGGCCCGGTGTTCCCTAAACCAACTTCTAATGACATCATTAGACCCAAAGATAAATGCATGTCTCAGCCCTCATTAGAGAAGCTTCTATTAGTAATAGCAGATGTCAGTTAACACAGAAAAACACAACTAACTGATCAAGGTGCAGAGAATAAGTGACTATGGAATGTCCAGCTATAAATGGGATATCTTTATCATATTTCTTCCTCTCAAAGTTCAGGAATCATCGAGAAAGAGGATATAGAAAGACTGCTAGAGCCAGACAGTAGGTAAATACAAGGAAATGGTGTCCTCTGGACATGGGGAAGCTGCACATATGAACTCATATCAATTGTGGCAGCATGCACATGCCCAGTGCAAACTTAAACCAAATCAAATCCCAGCATAGAGAAGGAAGAGAAGAGATGGGAACAAAGGCCTACCTGTAACCAAAGAGTTGTTGACACTTGATAGGAGGAGAGTCATTTTTAAGAGCAAATGCCCTGCTGAGTTGACCAAACTTCAGTGGAAAGTCACACATCTACTATTGGGAAGCACAAACTGGACTTGATGGCTGAAAGGACATAAGCTTGTATGGTTGGATGAATAGGAAAGTGGTACAGATCTGGGAGGAGTTCAGGAGGTGAGTGCGATCAGACACATTGTAAGGAAGTCTCAAAGAACTAAAAGAAGCTCCAAAATATGGACCTGGAAAGATGGCTCAGTGGTTAAGAGCACTGACTCCTCCTACAGAAGACCTAATTTCAGTTCTGAGCTCAAAATTGTCTGTAACTCCAGTTCAATGGGACCCAACACTAATGGCAAAACATATAAAATGAAATTTCAAACAATTCTTGATCTTAAATTTATATTATTCAGTGTCCTTTCATTTAGTAGCAGAGTTGCAGTGTTTTGAAAGATTCTCAACACCTTTCTTCATGTGTCTTGTGATTCTCTGTTACGATTTGTGTAGTCTGTTGGTTTAGATGTCTCTTACAGTCCTTGATGATCATCCTATTCTTTAATTCTCAACCCCTGTACCACTCTGTGAGGAGAAAGCAAACTGTCGTGGCATCAACATCAAACCATAAAAGACAGAATGAGAGGACAAGATTACTCCCTACCACTAATGAGTCAACTACAGGAGTCACTACCTCACAAAACCTCACAAAACTTATTCAAGGCTTAGCATTGCTGTGGGCTTATCCAGAGGACAAACATGCCTATCTGCATTTTGTGTGGTTTGCCTTTTGAAAGCTACTTCTCCTTTGCCCCTAAACCTCAAGCAAGATGTTTGCATGGTTGGCACTATGTTAGACTGACTTCTCTATGATGTCCTTTCTCTGTTTTTTATCTCTATCTTTTCAGGTATCCTTTTTGCTTTTTTTTTTTTTTTGTAGATTTCTGTTACTTTTCCTTTGTTTCAGTTTAGCATAAAGCCTATCTTTCCCTATTCTAGTATTCCTTCATTAGCTCACACAAAAGCATCCTCCCTTTAGTCTATGTTCTTAACTACAAGTTGTCAGTTCTTAAATTTATAAAAGAAAAAATCTGGGAGTTCTCATGATATACCATTGAATTTATATTTTCTGTGAGAAACTGAATCTACCATATCTTCTAATAAATTATTGTACGTTAGCATTTCATTTATTGATCAGTCCTTAACTTTAGTCAGCACTGCTTTGAAATTCCCTAAGAACAGGCTTGGAAGTCTTTGAGAAAACAACCAACAAGGGAAAGTACTAGAAATATAATATTGGTCAAACATGTACTGTCAAACAGGATATGTAAAAATATCTATTGGATAAAAAAAGAAGAACCCAGTTTGAAAACGTACAAAATGTTTTAGCAGACTCTGAAAAAGAATGAGTGTGGCTTACTAATAATCACATGGGAAAGAACTCTACATCAGGAGTCAAGAATATATGATTCAAGTCAAATCCAATCATTTCTCTATTATGTTGACTTTCTGTAAAATAATGACTGTATCACGTATTGGGAAGAAGGTCAAACAATTATCCAATTTAAAGTCTACATAAGGCCATGTTCTTGTCTGTATGACTAGGCTTTCAATTGTAGAAAGATCTACTAAGCAGATATGCAGCCTGAGGGCCCACTGTTTGCTGTAAAATGTCCTCCCTTCAGGTGTGGTATGTATGCCACATTGCAGAAGCATTGTTCTTCCCAGGTGTCCAGCATTCTAAGCAGGACTCCAGATCTCCCAAGGCACATCTCAGTACAGGAGAAAACGTGTGCTGTAGCTGCCCTCAACATGGACAAACTCTTTTCTGTGGGAAAGAATACTGGTGCCAGAGGAAGACTCTTCAACACAGGGTTTGCTCAGAAACCTTTAGGAAGCTCAGGAAACTGTTGAGTGAAGACCTCCACATTTGGCCACAGAGGGGCAGTGCTGCATCAGAGCCGACGAAGTTTGTTTCTTCTAAGTACTCAACAATGAGTACATATATATATATATATATATATATATATATATATATATATTCGTACATATATATGTAACTATAATTTTTAAAAGGACCCATGAATTTTTAGAGTGAAGAAGAGCAAGAATTCAGTCAAGATTGGAAGGGGGAGAGGGAATAGTTAAGTTATGTAAATACATTTTAATTTTTAATATTACATAAAATATATTATCTCCTAACATGTTTACATGTATTTAGAGAATAACAAATACATGTGTCTAACTTTCTGTTTGCCTATGTTATATCTGTTTATCCTGGGCCCACAGGATTGACAAACAGGAATTTGCAAGTGAACGCTATGAACAGTCATGCTATTCTTAGAGGCTAGGGCCACATCACCTTGGCTAATGTACATTTCTAAGGCTGTCACCCACACTTGGTCCAATCTCCTGCTACACTGATATGACCTGTGCCTAGAACTACGTTATAGCTACGTTATATATCCTTTCTACTGGAAAATCTGCTATGGTTTGAAGCCAGCTCAATCCTCTGCTCCATCAGTATCTTCTCTGAGTGGATCGGGAAGTGGCGTTCACACCCTTTTCTTCATCATCTTGTCTAAAGACACAAACATCTTCAGTAGGTTTCAGATTTCTGTTCTTGTGTGTTAAGACCAGAGTGAAGATTGGAATTGTGTCTTTTGAGAAAGACACCGAGCGCTGACCACACTGTAGGCACTTAGACACTCAGCAAATACATAGCACTCCTTTTTCCTCTTCAACTAAACTCATTTGTAATCTTTACATCATGTCTACTTCTTTCTTTTTTCTCTGGTTTTCACACAAGAACAAATATATACTATTTTTTCTTTTAAAAAATTTTGATATTTTTTGTTTTGATTAATATATCCTTTGGTTCGATCCATTTTCCTACTAATGACATGATTTTGTTCTTCGACATGGCTGGACATACTCTCCTTTTATATGCAATGTTTTCGTCATTTGTCTGGTGATAGGTGGTTCTAGGCTGTTTCTACATATTGGCTATCATGGTCTTGCTGTGACCCAGGATATGATGGTTCCTTATAAGCTTGCACATGTAGGGATCTTTCTAGCGTAATGACTTCAGTGAGTTGGATAAATACCCACAAGTAGAAAAGCTGAATCATGGGCAATTCTTCCTTTCTTATCTTTCTTTCTTTTAAAAAAAATCTTTTATTTAAACTTTCTTATGAAATATATTTTGATCTTATTTCAGCTCTCCACCTACCCAACTTCATAATATCTCTTCCTCGGTCTCTCCAATAAAAAACAAAAACAAAAATTTTTCAAAAGCAAAAAACTAATAAGAGCAAAAATAGCAAAAAAAAAAAAAACAAGCAAAAAGGCCCATTTTGTATGGAGTTCAGGGTTGGGGACCTGCTATAGAATGTGATTGATTATACCTAGTGACCCTCTATTTGGGGAAAACTGAGTTTCCCAATCAGTTGCAAATAGCATTCACTTCCCCTTCTCGGTGCTTGGATTTTTCCATTTTGAACCTCTGCAGGTTTTGTGCATTCTGCCACAATCTCTGAGTTCATCTGTGCATCAGTCCTGTTGTGTCTGGAAAACCCTGTTCCTTGGAATCATTCACCACCTTGGGCTCATCTTTCCACCTACTTTTCTAAACATGTCCCTGAACTTTGAGGGGAATACTTTGATGAAGACATCCCGTTTAGGATTGTGTGCCCCAGTGATACTCACTCCATGTACATTGTCCAGTGAGTGTCTGTGTTAATTCCCATCTACTGCTAGAAGAACCATCTTTGATGAGGTTTGGGCACTGGTCTACGGGTAAAGCATGTGTATACTGATATTCTTGGTGGTTATATCAACACACAAATTTTACCAACAGTGTATAATGGTAGAATTATGAGGAGGGGATTTCTGATTCTCAATGGCTGTATTTTCAGCAAATTTGATCAAAATAGGGAAGTGTTTCCTGTGTCAGAAATAGCTGTAGACAAAGTGTTTCTGAGGGGTGGAGTCTGTTGAAAGAACTGAGGTGCTCGTGAAGGCAGACTGAGTGTTCTGTGGGGAGATAAAAGGCCACTGGAGATCTCACGAGCTCCAGTCTAGGAAGAATGGAAAAGATCCAGAAAGTATCATTCTTAGTCCTCGCCCTTCACCTAGCATGTGAGTAATGAAGAAGAAACCCCAAGATGTGTGTGTGTGATTAATGTGGAGGCATGAGAAATTGGGGTACCAGACAAAAGCAGGCATGTCAAAACCATAAACAGGAAATACATATCTAGGAACCTAATGACATCTGTTATTTCTTTACACAGGGGTGAGTGGTCAGCAGAAGGGGAGACCTGACCAGCAGCAGGTGAAACAAAGCCCCCAATTTCTGACAGTCTGGGAAGGAGAGACCTCAGTTCTGAACTGCACTTATGAGAACAGCGCATTTGACTACTTCCCATGGTACCGGCAGTTCCCTGGTGAAGGCCTTGAATTCCTGATAGCCATAAATTCAGTGTCAAATAAAAAGGAAGGTGGACCATTCACCGTCTTCTTCAGGAAAAGTGATAAACAGCTCTCCTTGCACATCACAGATTCTCAGCCTGGAGACTCAGCCACCTACTTCTGTGCAGCAAGTGCACAGTGATCTCCAGGCACCTGCTGCCACACCCAAACCTGCAGCTGTGCTCCAGCATAGCCCTGCTGTGGGGCTGAGCCAGGCAGAGGTGCAGAGGAGTTTTCATCTGCAGTGGCAGGTGACTGGTGATGCAGTGAACTTAAGTATTAGACTCATTCAGGCCACAGACAGACCAAGATGACTTCATGGTTTCCTTTCCCCTAGTCTCCCTTTGCGCTTCAGGTACCACTGGAGTTTTAGATCTATTTCCTGAACTGGTCTACTTGAATCATTTACTGAGTATCTGTATAAATAGTTCTCTGTGTGGTTGGTTTGTAGCAACTATAAATTATACAAGGGCCTATTTCCCTACACTCTTGGCAACAGTGTGTTAATGGGTGGCTATTAAAGCTCAGTATCAGTAGACTTTGTGGCGTCTGTGATAGGAATCACACAGAATTTTAATTTCCTCTGATGATCAGAGAAGTGGTGATTTATGTGAACACCGATCAATTTCTTCTACTCCCTCTTGTTTGATCTTCCTCTTATATCCTCATCTACCTTTAAGAAATTCAGTGTTAAAGAATGCGCTCACCTTGATGCAGGTCTGTTTACAAAAAAACATATGACATCAGTGGGGAAGGAATGAAGTTTATTCACATAAAAAATACATAACTTTTACCAAATAAGTTTTTCCCATGTCATTTTTACAAATGAATCAAAAATATAACATTGAATGGAAAAATCAAATGTCAGAATGAGAAATATTTCATCACATTATTTATAAGAAACTTCAGAACTACAAATGAAATGTTGTATGTTCATATTCTCAAATTCTATCATTATTATGTTTTTGCTGCTGTTGTTAATATGCCTGTTGTGTGTACATGCCACAGTACACCCATGGAGGTCAAAGGGCAGCTTTACAAAGTCAACTCTACCCTTCCTGTCACCTGAGTTCCTAGGGTTGAGCACAGGTCACCAGGCTTTCAGGATACATGCTTGATGTGGGATTTCCCTCTGGATGCTGTGCATATGTTTTTTTACCAATGGTTAAAAAAGAAACTTTTTTGGCCTATGACAGGGTAGAACAGATCTAGGCAGGAAAACAAAACTGAATTCAGGGAGAAAGAAGGTGGAACCAGGGAGACACCAAGTAACTTTCAAGGGAAACAGATGCCAGAATCTTAGTGGTAAGCCACAGCCTTGTAGCAATACATAGATTAATAGAAATGTGTTAATTTAAGATATAAGAGCTAGCTAGAAATATGCCTGAGTCATTGGCCAAACAGTGTTGCTATTAATACAGTTTCTGTAGGATTATTAGGGTCTGGAGAGCCGAGAAATGAATGAGTAGTCTCTGTTTACACATGCTTTCCACACTGGCCCACCTCACAAGGTTTATATATTGCTTTCTAATGTGTATCTATAAGTAGATATTACAAATGCCCTGGTTAGAAACTTCCCAAGTGTAGTGTAGTGTAGTGGCATTTCATTTGTATTTTAATAAATAAAGCTTGCCTGAAGATCAGAAAAGTACAACAACCACAATGGCCAGCCTTATAGACCAGGCAGCAATGACACACACCTTTAATCCCAGTAGCCACAATGACATATACCTTTAATCCCAGTAGCCACACTAGCTTGCCATGGAAACCAGACAGTAGTGGTGCACACCCTTAATCCCAGAACTGGAGAGGATTATAAAATTGGAGAAGACAGCTCCCAGTCTCAGTCTCATTCTGAGGTTTCCTGGAGGAAGGATCACCGTTTTCAGACTGATGTCGAGGTAATAATAGTCAGTGGCTAGGTGCTTTGTTTTTCTGGTCTTTAGGTTGAACCCCAATATCTGTCTTTGAGTTTTATTAATCATGCTTCAAGAAAGGAGTTACTGTTGCACAAATTCTAAGTGGTTTTCTACAGAATCCTCAGACCAAAGTGGGCAATATCCTGTCTCTCTGAATCCTCATACTGAAAGCTCTGAGCTCTTGTCTCCTCTCACCTTATATTTCTCTCTCCACCCAGGCATAGCCCTTCCTGTCTCCCTCTCCCTAATGTTGGGATTAAAGGTGTGTGACTCCCAAGTCCTGGGATTAAGGGTGTGAGCCACTAGCTCCTGGCTCTGTTTCTCTGAGACTGGATCAGGATCAGTGTAGTATAACCCAGGGTGGCCTTGAATTCATAGAGATCCTCTACCTCTGCCTCCCAAGTGCTGGGATTAAAGGTGTATGCCACCACTGTCTGGTCTCTATGGCTAACCAGGGGATTAGCTCCACACTCTGATCTTCAGGTAAGCTTTATTTGTTAGATCACAAACAAAATATCACCACAAATTACTAATTTATATATAGAAAAAAAGAGAAGCAGAATAATTTACTAGCTGCTAAGTATTATTGCTAAGTGCAAAGGTATCATATATAATGTACTGTACTTTAAATTTGAACATTATATATTTTAAAGTATTTTAAGCCATATATTTTTTAAAATTTAGTGTGTGTGTGTGTGTGTGTGTGTGTGTGTGTGTGTGTGTGCATGTGTGTGTAAGTGGGCAAATGCTTGGTCCACATATGAAGTTGGAAACATCTTGTGGCATGGGTTCTCTCCTTCCTTCCATGTTGTGGGTTCCAGGGAATGAACTAAGTTCATCAGACTAACAGGCAAGTTCCTTACCCCTTGAACCATCTCACAGGTCTTAGACCTTTTTACTTAATAGGAGCAGCTGTAGTCGTTATGGCCCCCAGCAGTGCACAAGATGGAGGAAGGACCTTTCATTGCCTAACACTTTGCAGGATGTACTTTCATGATGCCACTTATATGTCAACAAAAATTCCACTGGAAAAAAATCTTTAAATGTATTCATTGCACACAGTTCAGGGTTCTGGTAGTCCCCAGACACCTAGGAGCCTAAGGCAGGAGGATTTTATTTTCTAGGAATTGTAGGCTAACCTGACTCCAATTAAACTAAAAGACTGTACTAGGAAAGTGGAACTAAACCTAAAGAATGGGGAAGTTGTTAAACTTAAAATGCACAACATATAGTATCTCTTCACCAATGCATAATTCATAGATTTCAATACGCAAAAAGAAAATCTAGACAATCAATCAATTGACTCTTCGCAGTAAGAGATGTGCCACAAATGCCAGTGCGTGAATTCCCTGTTTTGTTCAAAGATTTACATTACTGTCAAGTTTAAAACAGATCAGAAACTTGGACAGTGGGGGGGGGGGGGGCTTGCATGCATGTGTGTGTCTGTAGAAAAGTCTTCATTGGATTGGCATTGTAGCATGATCAATAAAAATCCAGAGACAGATACTGGGGTCCAACCTGAAGGTCAGAAAAGCAAAGAGAGACAGTCACCAGCTCTTACCTCTACGTCAGTCCATGTGGCAACCCTGCCTCCTTCTGCTACTTGGTGTCTAGCTGAAGTGCTGAGCTCCTTGCTGGTCCCTGATGCTCATGATTTAAATTGTGAGAACACATAGTGGCAACAGTAACTACCCTTGCTGAGCTGAAGTTAGAACTTTGTGATAATCATTCCAGGCAGGATTCAGGCAGACCCTTATGCTTTCTGATCTACTGCTGTCAGATGCAATGGCAGTTCATGTAGGAGTGTCACATAGATGGATAGGTGTTATGGGAGGGAGAGCAGGAGAGTGCTTTAGACACCGCTTAGCCTTGTTGCCCAGGTGAAGCATTTTTCTTTGTTAGATGAAATTTGTGTTTATATTCTGGCCAGTTTTATACTACAAGAATATCCTGAGATGTGGGAACAAGTCACTGAAGGAGAAGAAGCCACTGAAAATAACACGATATAGTGAGTGAGCTCTTGTCATCTTCCACTCTGCCTTCCACCCTCCCAAAGTAATGCATGGTTTTCCTATTGGCAGTAAGACATATAACAGACCACAGATGCCAGCGAGAATCTATGAATGTTGTCATTAGGATGCACTGCCAAGTAGACCTCAGATACTACAACCTCAGTGTGTGCCTGTTCATCTTTAATAGAGGATACGGTAAACAGATCCAACAAGTGTCTGAGGTAGGAAGCTACTATGCTGTGTGATTTCCATGTGTTTTCTTGTTTGGTACTTAGTGGGCATGCAAAGGTTCTTGAATTCCCCCTGCTTGAATAGCATTGCAATATTCCAGAGACGAGGACTTGGGTTGAAGTTCTGGACCTACCATTTATTAATCAAGGAGTTTGAGGAAGATTGCTTCATAATTTTCTTGTTTAATTTCCGCATTCCTGCATGTGATTGATACTAGTATCCACTAAAATGGTTTCTATGAGAAATAAATGAAATGATGACTGCATTTATTACACAGATACTTTTTAATTCTATGCAATCTCTTAGTCAATTATTAATATCATTACTATTATTGTGGGAAGGCACATGTGTCACAGTGCACATGCTCACATGGAAAGCAGACAACTTCATGGCACAATTTCTCTCCTTCCACATTTCCATGGGTTGTGAAGATCAAGCTTTATCACCAGGCTTATACAGCATGCACCTTTACTGGCCAATCTCCCATTCTTGTTAATTCTTGGAATTACTCAACTACTGGAGTACTTTAGAAAGTCCTTGTCCATGTCTACCCTTGAAGTGGTTTATCTGTTTTTCTCTAACACTTTTAGAATTTCATCTTATATTGATTGAGTTTGAACTAATTTCACACCAGATAAAAGACCTAGGTTTATTCTTCTACATATAGATTTTTTTTCCTCAGCACTGTTGTTGAAGGTGTCATTTCATCAACGTGTTTTGAAACCTTTGTCAAGTTACATAGCTGTAGTTCCGTTGTTTGTTCCTGTGCTTTCAATGCTATTCAGTTGGTCTGCAGACCTCTTTTGTGACAGTAAAATGCTGCTTTAGTTCCTAGGACTCTGCCTTCTACTTTGAGATCAGATACTGTGAGACTGCCTGCCTTGCTATTTTTACTCAGAATCACGTTGCCCACGCTTTGTGATTCTGCATGAGTTTTAGGATTGTTTTATTCTAGTTCTATGAGTAAAGACATTGGCATT